ACGGTTTTGACTCCACGGAGGAAAAAGTTACCTTCCCCACACGCCTACCGGTCGCACACAAGTTCTGGGACTTCATAGCAAGTGGAGATTACTTCTCTAGATCCGCGGCCCAATCCATCATTCGAAACCCTGCTCTTTGAATCGGTGTCAAGGCCACCAGCACTGTTTTCTTCTCACGAGAAGATGCAAGCAAGGTGCGAACTGATGAATTGATCATGCTTTACAATGTTGTGCGAGACACCATTAGCGGTAAAGCAGGGTTGAGCTGCGAGTTCGATGGAAGCGACAATATGGGAGCACTTTTTGCCTCATAAATTGCGGACAAGAGGACCAAGGTTGCCAAGGGCAAAGCCCGGCCCACGTAGAGCGGATGGGGAGTCTGCTGACTCGTTTGTTCCTTCACCTGGAGATCGATGTCAGCGGATATGAGCGCAGCACGGAGTACGAGCCATGGACACGGCTTATCTCTTTTCTTGTGAGATCTTAGCCGAACCCACCACCTACCGTTTCACTTCACGCGCCGGTAGTGTTCTGTTTTGCAAGTTGCCTCAGCCATCGCTGACAAATTTTGAGGTTGCTGCCAACATCGGGTTCACGCCCGGGACAGAGTATTTGTGCCCAGCCCCTGGAGCACCAGCCAGGAGCACCCCGAAGCAAATAGGGAGCACCTCTGCTGCAAGAAAGAGCACCTCCAGTTCTGCACCTGCTCCCGCTCTCGCTGCCAATACCCCGCTGAGCCATGAGGAAGAAGAGGATTTGGCAGCAGATACACAACGTACGCAGCAGTTTCGCGCTCACTACCGTCAGCCTTACCACAGCGAGCTGACACTCGGAGACATCTCTGACAACCCGGACGACGCTGAGTACCGCCGTTGGATGGTGGCATCCACTAAGAAGAACAACGGGCTTCTTCGCCGCCTTTTGCACATGTTGCAGAAGGGATGCAGCAGCTCACAGGCCGCGGAGACGATTCCGTCCACTGTGCCAGTCCAGCCACCTCTTGCGCAACCATCCTCGTCTGCTCGCCCCACCACACGATCATCCAAGAAGAAGAAACCGATCACGGACGACGATGCTACAGCCAGCGATTAGTCATCGCTATCTTTCTCCCCCTCTCGTATTTTCTCTGAAC